CGCGCTGAAGTGCCACTTGACATCCATCTGTAGCTGGCCAGCGATGAACCCAATTTGACCACATAGCCATAAGTTACAGGTTTCGTGGTTCCAACCTGGATTGCCGCTCGTACTGGAGTACCTGTGTCGACTCTGATCATGCCTTGGTACGTTTTCGTTTCTCCATGAACTTCACTGGGATGCGCACCAAGGGTCTCCTCCGATTGGCAACGGAGAAATTGTCTCAGTCCTCGGTCAGGCAAGCCTATCAAGAAGCACTACATACCGAAGTTCCGCTTTCTTGTCCTAATGACACTGAGCTTCAGTGGAATAGAATCTCGGCCGCCATGCACGACGAAGGAGCATCTGCTTGTTGCACTATCAATCGTCACCGCACCAGTCACTGAATATCCGAGAGGTCGGTGATCCTGTTGGAATCTGGAAGACACCTCCCGGCTGACTCTGAACACAATGTGACCAGACGGGTTATTCGGCGTGAACTAAAGCGGAGCCTACGTACTGACAAGGAAGCCTGGTGGACCAGTTGGGCTCAAGAAATGGAGGAGGCAGGAGCAGAAGGCAATTACCGGAAGCTCTTCCAGCTAATCCGCACCACTGGTCCCAGAAAACTAGGCGTCAGTGAGACGATCAGAGACAGTGCAGGTGCGCTGATGCACAATAAGGAGCGCCGTATGGCTTGTTGGGCGGAACACTTTCAAGATCAGTTCACTTGGCCCCATGCTCCCGGACCTCTTCGTACTCAGGTGATGCAGGACGAGCCATGGACGGTTAGTTTAGAGCCTCCGTCAGAGGCCGAGGTCCAAAACGCGATCACAGCCGTCAATGGTTTTCGTGCCGCTGGCCCGGATTCCCTCACACCTGCACTATTTAAGAATGGAGGTGAGGTCCTCTGCAAAGCACTGACCTCTCTATTCAAACGTATCTGGAACGAAGAGAGTGTGCCGGCTAATTGGAGCGAATCGATTATGGTGGCAATATACAAGGGCAGTCGCACAGACTGTGCGAACCACAGGGGTATTAGCCTAACGCCAGTTGTGACAAAATTACTGGCCTCCATTCTCGTTCGTCGTCTCACTGCGGAACGGGAATCTCGGATTAGAGAAGAGCAGGCCGGTTTTCGCCCAGGACGTGGCTGTATAGACCATCTATACACTGCGGCAGGTGCTAGAGCAGTGCCACGCATACCGCAGATTGACAATAGCTGTGTTCCTCGATTTCAAGAGTGCGTTCGATTCAGTCGATCGGTCGGTTCTGTTCGAAATGGTTGCGCGGAAAGGTGTTCTCACGAAATATATGAAAATCCTTCGTGCTCTATACTCGAACACTACGTGCCGCGTCAGGGTCTACGGTATCGGATAGCTTTCCGACAACAAGTGGCGTTTGTCAGGGTTGTCTGATTTCCCCATTTTTGTTCAATTTCGTCATGGATTCTATCCTGAAGTGTTCCGTTACGCAATCTCACCAAGTAGGTGTTGAAGTGCTGTTTGGTGAAAGATTAGTTGATCCAGATTATGCGGACGATATCTTCTTGCTTTTCGACGATGTTGGGGCGGCCCAATCAACCCTGAATAGCCTGTCCAGAGTGGTCCCATTATTTGGAATGCACTTCGCACCTTCAAAGTGCAAAGTGTTGCTGCAGGACCACCAGCCACTTGATGACCCCTTGACGCTTGTTAACGAGGAACTCGAGGTGGTTGATCAATTTACTTATCTTGGCAGCTGCATCAGCAATGATGGGCGCATAGAAACTGACGTGAGCTCACGCATTGCAAATGCCGGTGCTACCTTGAACCTGCGGCATTTTTGGCGACAGAAGGGAGTTTCCCTCCGTTTGAAACGCCGTGTATACAAGGCCACAGTGAGGGCCGTTCTGCTCTATGGTAGTGAGACTTGTCCCCTTCAGTCTGAAGATCTGAGGCGCCTTCAAGTCTTTGATCATCGTTGTCTGTGAAGCATTGCTGGAGTCGGATGGCAGCGGTGTGTTCGCAAGGATGATGTGCTTAGGCGAATACTAGGTGGTGGTAACCATGCTAGCTCCGTAGAACAACAGATAGCACTGAATAAGTTGCGTTGGCTCGGGCACGTGCTACGTATGCTTGGTCACCGCTTACCTAAGAGGGCCTTGTTTAGTCTGCCAGGTGTAGAGTGGCGCAAGACTCGAGGTGGACAGAAGTTGACTTGGCAGCGAGAAATGAAATCAGTGACTACCAAACTGGATGCCGTTGGTCCGTCTCGCCTTCTGGGCTGGAGTCCACGTGACTCGCCTTGTGCTTGGCTCGAGACTTTACAGGACATGGCTCGCAACCGACACCAGTGGCGCGTCTGGTGCCGTCTCCTAATCCGATTGCCTGTTTAAGGTGTGTTTGGTGCTGAGTTATCTGCGGGGTAATGGCTGATTATGACGCGTGGTAGTGAAAGCCGCAAGGAAGCTGTCTCGCCGATGCCACCTTATCTTTGCACGATAGCCAGTTGTTTGTGACGATATGTTGTCTACACAAGGTGTAGGCGCCTTGACCCTGTAAGTTTTGGTTATGGCAATAAGGTCTTCATGTAAGTTCCCCTTCTCTCCCTCTTCTTATTCTTTATTTCATAGGTCCTCATGGTTGTATGGCAGCGAAGCATCAGTTCAAATGGCTGATGTACTGCTATTGATGATGATGAATCTAACATATGCATGTTGCGTAAGCAGGTTTACAGACTATATATGATTGGATAATGCACATCCCATGTAGTAGAGGGACTTTCGTGAGTACTGTGGGCATACACATTGCTGATTGCAGGCACATTTAGGCTGAGTTGATGATCTGTTGTAAGAATTGCAAGGCCTACTGATTCGTTGTGGTTGGCGGCTGTGGCCAACGATAAACCTCAAAAAGGGCTTGGTATGTATGGGGTCCAAATGACTGAATGTAGTTTAGGACACTGTTTGAAGCCGTCTCTCTCAGGCTTGTGATTGCTGGTATGGTAGCAGTCGGTTTGCCTATTGAGCTGTGAGTAGCTGGATGTCTAAATGTTATGTTCTTGTACGGTGTCGGTCGGCGGAGTCGAGCGTGTTGGTTAAGCAGGAAATTCACGGCAGACGGTTCAGAAAGAAAGCTTCACAGAGCGAGGATAATCGGCTCGTCTATGTGTTAGCTTGATTGCTGATAATAATCTCCTATTCAATTTAGAGTATTCCGTAGGACCTTTTAATACTCCATCTGCTTACAAGTATCAGGAATGTTAAAGGCTATGGGTGTGCTCTGTGGTGCCGACTTCATTAACTTGGTCGAGTTACTGGAAGAATCTTCGTTTTTGTTGTTAAAGCTGCAGTGCGTGTCGACGCAGCTACGACTTTTCTTGCTATTCATCAGCTTTTAGGATGTTTCCCATGTGGCACTGATGCTGATCATGTTTTCTATGCTTCCACCATCTGTGGCAATGGTAGGCTGTGAACTTGGGTGACATCTATCTAGATCTGTGCATAATGTCTGAGTTACCGTTGTGGTAGTACTATTTGTGATAGTATTAGATCTCTGGATGGGAGTGATGTTGCTACTGAAGATCGGTTGTATTAGTGGGCAGTCAACCGTAGTCGCTAAAATGAGTCGCAGAGTTGCGACTTGAGCTCTTTGGTCTAGGATGTCAGACGCCTTCATGTTATTACTCACTGTTGCTTGTTGTGTGTTCTATCTGTCGGATGGCACCAGCGAGTCTGTACCGCGCTGGTGCTCAAGACCGCAGTAGCTGGTGACTTAGTTCGTTAGAGGAACAAGGTTTCTAAGAAAACATTGAATTGAACGCATGTAACTTACAAAGATAACTGACATGGGATCAGCAGATAGGAAGTCGAAGACGCGCCACGCACGCGTGCTGGTCAGAACCACACGATTCGTTATGGCAAGCTAGAAACCATGCGGTATAGCACCACGAAGAGTAACGCGATTACAGACGAAGGCGATCAAGGGTGAGCGATGCGCTTTAAGTTCGGTATCACTAGTTCGTATTTGTGACCGCATGTGCTGCCTGTTGTGTATGTAACTCGAAGTTAACAACACCGGTGTATCACCTTTTGAACTTGACGTTTTGTAGTTCGTATCCTTCTCACTCCTGTTTCTTTTACTCCGGCTCATCTTGTTACCTGCTGTTACCCCTTCCTCTGTATGAATGGTATGGAGTTTATCTGATCTTCCTGATTGTTTTTTTTGCGTTGGTTAGTGGCAACCACCTCTTAGGCGGTGGACGCATTTCATGAGTTGTCCTTCCATCCCTATTTTATCTTTTTTCTGCTGTCCCCCAATCCCACCCCATAATTCCGTAAATCATGGTGAACCACTGAAAAGTTTTTATACTTACCCACTACTTCCTTTACATTAGTAATAACCCGCTCTAGCATAATTCTATGGGCTGATTTGCGGTTCAGCATGCAATCAGGCGCTTGTAGACCATCCCTATCATGTGAATGACTGTCGACTGAATCACGCTGTATTGCAGCGGATGAATAGCCCATGTGAGTCACGACTGATAACCGAAGGCCTAACATTTTAGGCTACTTTCTCACGCATTTGTTGGTCGCGTACGAGGGCATTCACATCGCTTATGGCTCGCCGATAGGAAATCACGATCGCAGAGCATCTTTATTAATTTGCTACCGTTAGATGGATGAATCTGGTTGTTATAAGTCTCGCAGCTTAAACCTGGCTTTTCGGCATTTATTGCTAAGCCAATTAAAGTGGATTAGATGATTACTTACCCTGTTGTGCTGTGAGTTGTCTGTTTTAGATACTAGAGTTTTTCCTAAGACCCGGTTCGAATTAGAAGGCTGCAACCGTTGGACATCGGCTGACCACATAACTGTAGGATTCCTATTTTCACGGCGGCATTTACCAGAGGTACTCAGATCCTAAGCCACGCCGCACACGGGAATTGTATGGGTTTGTTTACTGCCACTATCATTTGCATACACTACATTTCAATTCAAATTCACTAGATAACATTTTACACTTTTTCTCTGTTTGTAGGAGCTTTTCAGCAGTGTCGGCACACTGCGCCTGTGCAATTTAGTCCGCCCCGGACAGGCTGAGGTTGTGTTCAATGAAGCTGTTGATGCTAAAGAAGCTGTGCGGCGCTACAATAACCGCGAACTTGATGGGCGGCCCATGAATGTCGCTCTTGTTACAAATATCGCAGACGCTGCGGTTAGCACAGCTCGATTCGCTTCTCGCCTGGGTCCCTCGGTTATTCCTGGCGTTTTTGACCAAACGAGCAAACGGTACTGCTCATTTCCTGCTTCGATGTTCCATTAAGAGTGTTACTTGTGCTTTCTTGTTTTGCTTTCTTTTTCTCATGTTTCGGGCTCCGCTAATTTGTTCTAGTGAATTATACCGATATGAAACTTGTTCACTTTCCTACCCACATTTTCTCTGTCGGTCGCCGATTCGTCCACGGGGGCTTCGCCACTCTTGTTCAGTGATTTAGGCCTCAGTTTATATGTTTGTGCCCATACTTCGAGTTCCGTTGTTGACACATTCACCGACTTCTTTATCTTCATAAGTCAGGTTCTTTTTCCAAATCATAACTACATTTCCGGTGGGCTTGCTGGTCCGTTTTAAATATTTTGAATGCTAGTACACTGACTGTAGAAAATAATCGCTTTGCTCTTCTGTATAACGGGCTCGTCACACCATTTCGGTTTTTGCTTGGATCTAAATCCCGAGTGTTGCTGTTGGCTTTTGTTGGTTGTGTACAAGATTGATAGGAGTGACGACTTTCTATCCGCGTACTGCCTGAAGTTAGGCAACTGAGATCCGAGCACCGAAATGCGTTGGACCGTTTTATCACCATAATCGTCACAAGCGTAACAGTACTTAACAGTGGTGGTGGAAAATGGATGAGATACAAACAGAGAAGAAGCAGTCTGTGAAGGAGTACTTCCAACTACACGATTGTCATGTCCGACATGGTACCCAACCACTGATGTGGATCCTCATCTACAAGGGAGGCACTCATCAGCCTGACCAAGTCTTTCGGTTAATTTCTTTGTGCCACTCATCGACTGGCCACCTCGCTGTTTCCCCAACCAGGTGCGGCCCTAGCACATAATGTACGCCAGGGAAGCCGGTCGACGGGTATATGGAGGACATGCTCTTTTCAACATAAACAGTTAGGTTTTATCAAATAATTTGGTGAAGCACAAGGGAGTTTCTTACCAAACACTGGCGGACCTCAGCACTGCTCACCCGGTGTCCCCGCCAGTGTGAGAAACACAGTAAGTACCAATGGCCGAACACAATCAATCCGTCAATGGACTGCTTTACTGAACTACCTCCTCGTGTTGCCAGATAGATGATTCTGGTTCATCCTATAAGAAGGACATCAGCAATAGCTGTACCAGCGCTTCGCTGCTACGTAAGCACCACCAGTCACGCATGGGCTAAGGATACTGCGATGGTCGCCCGGTCCCCTACGCAGGCTCGAACGCGCGATATCCGGGTTGCAAGGCAGACGTCCTGTCCTTTCGGGCAAGGGTTATTAGTGATAGAATAGTGCGAGGTGTTGTACGGATAAAAACGTAAAGGTCCTCATACTACTATCTCGTTCCAAAAAATAGTTTAGCGACAATGTTTTATGACATGATGAGCTTTTGCCTGGCAAATCCTCTCCTGTGAAAGACCACTAATGTCCGTTTAACGATACTTTGGAATAGCGGATGTAACTCTATGTTAACTAAGGTCAGCGCCCCTTGCTTCGGTGGGTCCAGCGGATGGTGGTCGGATGTATTGAGCCTACATTTGACATCTCACCAAGCAAAATACGCGAGAACTGCGTAATCAGTTACCGACTCCCATCGGGCACGATTATTCCACTTCACTCCGCTACCTTGTGAGTATACTATTCTGTCAAAACTCGAGGCGGTGTTCACTAAGTCAACTACTAGTTTCAACGTCAGTCCTCTGAAATAACCATAAATTGTTCTGTGTTACAGATTGGAAAGTGAATTTGAAGTACACGTTGTGTGGATGGATTGCGACGCGCAATCTCAAAGTAGACCGCGATTCCCATTGAAGTGAACCTTGGGAATCGCGGTCTACTTTGAGATTGCGCGTCGCAATCCATCCACACAACGTGTACTTCAAATTCACTTTCCAATCTGTTATTTGCCGTTGTGCCAAGCTTTGCCCGTCGTGACCCGGTGGCTTAGGGGTGGCGGTCACAACTAACATCTCAATGGTCCCGGGTTCGATGCCTGCTATCTCTATCTGATGAGAGGAAATAACCTCGAAACGCGTAATGGAGTGCAGTGGTTTCAGGCGGGCAACACCCAATTTGCTGCTGTTCTGTGTTACGTTCTGTTTTCATTTTACCATGACTATCTTTTGATTTCCATGATTTTTGATGATTATGTCTACTCTTAGGATACTGAAAAATCTCTTTATGTTTTCAGTGTATGGTAGCGTTATTTTTGCTCCATGCAATAACAAGGTGCAGTTTTCTGACAAACTATTAAGTAGTACTCACTATAGCATTCGATTTACCAATCTCTTACATTTGTGGGTCGCTGTGTCGGACAAAAACTTACTGTCACCGTAAATTTCTTTCTACCCCCCTTTCCTATAAAAGCCGCCGAGTCAAGCGTATAGGTGCTGCTCGGTGGACCTCTGATCTGACGTTACATCATTTTTCCCAACAGTTAATTTGGTAGATCAAACATTTTCAATGGGTTCCGCGACTTAAGTAGGTAAATCTGGGCTTTGGACACTCCATTCAAATGTTTCACCTAGACTACGAAGTGATCTCAATGAAGCATCACCCATTGCGAAGTGGAGGTCTAATTTCATCGGCTACACACTAGCTACTATAGGTAACCATTAGTTGGCTTTGATTAAAATAGGTTTGTGAAATCAACACCAATAACAGCGTTTTAATTTACTGTTCCCTTTCAGTTAGATAGTTTGTGCAACGATTCCGTACCTAACTCACATATTGTGTTGAATGCGCCTGTAGTCGACGTGCTCATAACTGTGGTTCATTGATGTTTTCGTTATTCTCATTTTTGGCATGTGATCCTTTGCAACCGGTCCCATCTACAGTGGTGTTATTCGGCTCTAGTTGCTTTGACCGTGATCATTTCGCTGGATTCGGGTGATTGCGCTAAGTTTGGCATTTCATGCCGTTTCTGCATGTACGAGCTACCTACATTATTACTCATTGGGTCCCTTAACCGGGTGGTCCTCATCACCCGTTACTGCACTTCCGAGTTACTCGACAAATTTCGTTTGTCTTTATTCTCTCGTTCTCCGAACCCGTCCTCTTTTTATGTACTCCGCTTAAGTTTACCCGAAGTCTGATACCTTGGTCACCTGACACAGTTTTCGACATTTGATTTAATTTAACCATCTGATGTTGAACCCAATTTGTGTCTAATCAAATGTACCTACAGCACCGTTACTCTTCTCGCCTGTCTGACATTCGAATCTTTGATTCAGACTCGCCGTAACCAACGGCTCTTTTCATCGCTTTCCGCCTCCTTCTGCTGCAACTGTTATTTGTCTACAAACGTGCACCAGTAACCACCAAAACAGTGGTATTCTCCTGTTTATGGTATCAGCTTGACACCTTCCCCCTTTTTCATCCCTTTACAACCATCTTAATTTCTCTCTTTATTTACACTCCATCGCATCTGATGTCGTGGTTTTACAGACAATTGACGGTCACATATATGCCTCTGCTCCCGAGCTTAGCTCGGTTTTGTTGTCTGGTGTGGGGCCACATTAGCAACTACCCTTTTCACTGATTTTTATCCATGATTTCTCACTAGTTTTTCCTTGTCTGTTATTACCATCAATGACAAAGTTTGATGGACGTCTAAAGCCGATTGAATAGCCCCCTATTTTGTTTCCCAAACCCAAGACAACAAACAGATTCTGTCCCAAAGCCTGCGACCACCACCACCGGAAACGCAACCGCAATGGAAATCGATGTCGACGTGGTGCGTAAAGCTTTGTTCAACGTTTCGACTGGTAAAACTTCAAGACGACCAGTTGACTTCAATGTCAGTCTTCGCTGACCGTTAACCTATTCGTCCCACTGCTTCCCCAACTTCATTACACACGTTTACTGTTGTTGATTAAATTTTGCTTCCCCGAGTTTTTCATCATTTCTCTAGCTGGGACTGATTTGTTTTCGCGTGTTTCGTAAGAGTACGTACACATTAAACGCCGCCCAACTTTACCATCGTATTTCTTAGTTTAGCTTACCATCCTTACCTCCGTATTCAGTACCTAGCGCCATCTATTAGTTGCACGCTGATCCTGCGGCATTACACCCATCTAATCATCATCAACATGTAGGCAGTTATGCCTAGTTTGTAAACCACCTGATTCCGACTTTATCTGATTACTTGCATTTCGGATTCACACCTGTGTTCATGCGTTTATCGTAATTTTCCTTAGGCCTTACTGCTACTATTGTTATTATTCAACACCTGACCAGTGTACAACTGGCATTACTACTATCGGCTACTGCACATACTATTTAAGAGCAAGGCGAGAATCAATAATTTGTCCAACCTTTTAAGCTTGTTGCATTTTAAGGGCTACTCTTCCTTGGTATTTCTTCTAACCCTGACTTTGTCTCTGTTTGTACTTTTCAATTGAAACTCTAACCTGGGACTGAAGCTAGGAACCCTCGGATTTCGGCTAGCTTTGTTATCTTAGAGTTGTCAGGTTCGACTAGCAGCGCTTGTGACAACGGTATGAAAACCTTTCTCGTATTTATCTGTGCGAGCGCCTCGTATGCACTAATATTTCCAAGTTTAAGTTTGGCTTAATAAAATGTTAGCTACTGGGGCATCGTAACCAGTGAGATTCCATCTGTGATGCGATCAATGTTCCGGTTAAACTCACCGCGTTCAAAAGCGTAACGCACCATCTCTACCACGTGAATCACAACATCCTCGACTAACATTAAACAGAGCCGATGAGACAACCGTATGACTACCAACAGTTCAGGTTTTCATCTCGTCGTTTGAGACGTGCAATCTACCTTTGCCTCCATCGACGAAAACGGACAACCAAGGTGGTCCTCGGAAAAACGATCTAATGACTCATGGCAATTCGAATTTCAGATTGATCACGAGGCGCAAATACGTGGTCGGAAAGAACGGTGCACGAAGCACTCTTTGCACGATATCATTACTAAGTCGTTGACGAAAAATGTGTCATCGCCTAACTACAAAGGCTATTGTCCCAACTTAATCAAAGTGGTACTACACTCTGAATTGATGGCAGTGGTTCTATTACCTTACTGATTAGTTTCGCGCTAAGCTTTCAACCGCATTTGGCCAGTATGCAGCAAGAACAAGCTCCTGAGTTGGTTAGGAGTTCGCTGTAACTCGAAACTTGCGGAGAGGCCGACGCAGCAATATTTGCTGCACCTGACGGTATCTCCTGAACTACACTGGAACATGAAGATCTGGTGTACTTTGTGCAGCCATGTAGATTGGTTTGATTTCAAGAAACAATGATCCCTCATAAGCCCATTAGAGACCGACCTTCAAATGGCTGGCCAAACCATCAATCTGAATTCGACATCCGCTAGCGTACTCCGAAAATCCAGACGTTCCGCTGTCTCTACACTATCACCCAAGGTATCCTTAATATTTTGGCTGAAAGCGATCGTTGGGTCTCAAAACTGATGATTTTCATTATACGTA